TAGTATGAGGATACACCAAGTAGAATGTAGTGCATGAAATGTCTATAAACTATACACATCAAAGATCTACCAATGATTGGGATACGAGAGATAAGAATGCTTCCTTTTCCCCATCCGAATCTGGGACACCCATACTCTTTGAACCCCTCGTGCTCTTCCATAATGTAAACAGAGCTCGTGATGCATCAGTAATCGCCTTCTCATTACTATCGTACATTGGGACTGCATTCTTGATGATTCCGTTAGGCTGTTGCGGTGCCGATTTGTCCGGCTCTGCTTCGTGTGTGGGACGTTCAACTGGTGATGATAGATCGACGACTATAGGGGATTTCCCGCCCGATGGAGGGGTATCGTAGTTTAAAAAGAGGCCACGCGTAGAGTCGAAGGAACCTTCCCGGCCTGGTTTCATCTGCAGGGCTAAAGCTTGCGACAGCTCCTCAGGGGCAAAGTTCGTTGGATGCCCTAGCCATGCTTGCTGCTGTGGCTGAAGAGATTGTGCGGTAGGATCGCCCAGTATGTCGAAGTTTGGCCCAGCAGCAGCAATAGGGGCACCAACCAGCGTGGTCTCTGCCTCGTCTTCCTCGTCCCCATATCCATATCTATCCCAATAGGCGTCTTCTCTCCTAGGAGAGGAGCTCCGTTGGCTGAGTCCCGCGGCGCTCCCATTTCGGGGGAACGGAGCCTTCAATTTATCTATGCGGGAGACCCCCCCATTTGACACGGACGGCAAAACGTTATCATATCGCGACCAGTATGTATCCTCCCCGGCCGGGCTGGATGTGCCATTTGTGAACAAGTTTGCTTTCATCAGAGACTTTGCCTTGGACTGAGCCTCTGATGCTTGCTGGACATTGTCGTAAACATTCTTGGGAAGAGGCAACGGTTTGGAATCGAGATATTTCCATTCGAAGCCGGTGACTATACCACCTTCTTCCTGCGCTTCCCAGTCAAAGCAAATTTGAATGGCTTCATCGAGTATCACATGGGCTACTAATTCCCCATCAAAGGAATAGAAAACTGAGCCAGCTAGATCGTCCAAATTTCGTCCTGATAATTTGTGAAACGTGGTGAACACTTTGGTCGTATCTTGAGTAGGGTGGTCGGGATTGAGGCAGAGATATGCGTGCTGGTCCTCTGGCTCAATACCCAAGTAGTGGTGTCGGCGCCTTAGTTGCGTCGACAACAGGGATACAGGCATCCCATTTGGGTCAGGGGGGATCAGGTGTCGTAGAGTAGTGACGATTTTTGTTTTTGATAGAGGTTCTACAGATTGTGATTGGCGTGGATGCTCCACTGAAGGAAGTGGTAGGTGACTATTTTGGGAACGATTGTCAACTTGTAGTCCCTGCATTGTTTCTGAGGTATGGTGTTAGAAAAGTCCAGTTGATCAGCCTGAACCGAGGTGGGGGAGTCCAAGAAGCCGTGAACATAGCTCAGTGTAGTTTAATTAACGGCTGCATTGGCACTAGACTAATTGGGCGTCCCAAACACATTTGTAAAACAATCTGCTATTTATTCAAAGGGCATACAGCCTGATGACATGCAAATGACTCTAGCATACTACCATGATTCCTCCCGTACTCGTTGCACAAGGGAATCAACAGGTAGTGGATATAGGTCATAAAAGCGGAACAAGGAACAGGTTTGCATGTGGGAGTTGGAGAGTTTCAGATCGTGCGGAAAGAGATGTGAAAGGAACGGTTCAAGTGATATGAGCCAGCGAGGGGGGTAAGTTTAGGGAATCAGAAGGAGGGATCTGCAACAACGTATCAAAGGGGTGAATCAGTGGTGCTCAATGTGATGTCTTATTGGCCGACTTCGGCTTGTTGCTGCTGAGCAAGTTCACGCCCAACCCTCCTCTCCTTCTCGCTCTCCAACTGGTTATAGAGCAGGTAGAGAGCTTTTTCGTTGGACTCGGGTGTACCAACAATGGTAAACATGCGTTCACCCGTTTCGTCGTGGGGCCCTTTTGCGATGGAGATCTTGCTCCCAGACAGTCTGCGAATTTCAGTGATTTTGGTACCTGCACGACCGATGATGCACCCGACCATGTCGGACGGAATGGAGATGCTTTGGGTACGCATCTGCTGGCCAGTCGTGGCGGGAGCAGGGGCAGAGTTGCCTTGAGCTGATGGACCAGAGGAAGGAAGGGATGACGCCACTCCTGAGCCCAAGGCGCTAGTTCCGTTGGTAGAACGGCCATTCGCGGGACTAAAGTCGACAAGTGATACACGACGACCTGCATCAGCGACTGCGGCAGCCAGACCGGGGTTTGCATAGGAACTGCGACGAGAGCTACCGCCCGCCAGGATGGTTGTAAGAGCATCTGGGCCACCAGCACCTGGTTGATAAAGTACGGTACCAAGCCCACGCTCCCAGTCCTCGAGTAAACATTTCCCAATCTCTTCGATTGCTTTACCGATCGCTTCCGGGGAACCTTGGACTTCGACAATGCGCTCGGTTGATTGAGGAAGCATGTCCTTTTGAGCAACCATACGGGCACCAGACGAGTCTTGGATGTGCTTAATTTTTAGTCCATTACGGCCGATGATGGTTCCCATAAGGTTGTGAGAAATAAGTAGTCGAATGATTGTATGATTCGATGGTGCGGAGGGCGACGTAGGGGAGGTAGGTGAAGATGCAACAAGCTGTTGAAGGATGCTTGTATATGCCTACATAAGAGGAGATTAGAGATGTTCGGCAGTAGCGTCGTGGGAATGCGCATAATCAATGGTTAAAGCTGTAGCGTCTGCAGGAGAGGAGGTCGAAAATAGACATGATTCACTTACTTTGGCGACACCTGGGACAGATCCTGAGACACTGAGGACTCGCTCATGTACGCCAGAGACGACCTTGGAGACGCCAGCTTTCACGCCAGTCTGTTCTCTGAGATCGGCTACATTTTTGCCCCCCTTCCCAATTATTATTCCAGCATCTTTGGTACCTACGAGAGCACGAAGGGTAAGCGTCTCTGGAGACGCACTGGGGCTGCCAGAACGAGACTGTGGCTGATCACCACCAGCTTGTGATGAACCGGCTCCTATTTTTGTACTGGTCGTTAGCGTTGAGCCTTATACGTATACGTCAAGAATAGGAGATGATTTCTAGCCAAAATATGTGTCAATTTATAAATTACTCACCAGAGTCGGGGACGTTGGCGGTCACGGTTTCGGACATGGAGAGGAGGATAAAAGAAGATGAGAGAGAAGAGGAGGATTTAGAGGGTTTTGAGGTGTTTTGTGAGAGGTTGCAGTTGGGGTTAGAAACAAGATGGAGTTGCTCCCGGCCTCGCAAAAAGCCACCAACTCACATTTACAGCTCGACGTTCACGCTTTATATACAACACAACTGCTATTTCCGATAAATTTGTGGTCTCTGCTAACATACATGCTCGATTTTAGAGGGGGCCCCGGCGTCACCAAGGTCAATGGAGATACGACGCTGGAATACCTCCATCATGAACCCAAACAAATTACGAGTCAATGCTGCATCCCATCTCCCTTTGCTGGACTCGTCCCGAATGAATGCATGCTGTGCCTGCACTTCAAGGAACTAAAATAAACGAGGTTTGATCGATTCATTTTAACGTTGTAAGGTTAACATGTTCACCGGACCCAGCAGACGATTAAACTTACCGAACAAGTTACATCTGCATCTTCTAATGTTTTCCTTATGAGATCACGTCCTGCTCGTGGGACATGAGTGTCTTGCTTGCCAAATATCATCTGAAGAATTTTCAACATGCTGGAAACATGATCCATCACCCTTACCACCAGTTCAGCTTTATCTGTACCTGTGAGGGCACCATTTTTGACCTTTTCCAGCGAGTCGTCTCCCTTCCCCAATGTTGCAGTATGAATATCGGTTGCAAAGAAGCAGACTGCCGCTTTAACCCTTGGGTCGAATGCCGCCTAGGAGCAGAATTCAGGTTGCAATATTGTCAGTCGGTTTCGGACTGAACTGATTATCAAACACATACACGGAACGCCTTTAAACTTGTTAGCACGGCATACGATTCTTGTCGAGACTGATGCTTACAAGGTGGCCACCTAAGCACATTCCCGTCGCTAAAATGAGGAACCTTCAGACCAGTCCAATGGGTTTGATATGCGCCTACCAGCAATTCGGCCATTACAGGTTGGCAACGATACCAGTAAATCTATGGCGCTGGTTGCATCCTATAAGAGCCTCAGAGATACGAACAACACAATTGGATCGAGAATAACCTCATCGTATGCTGCCACTTCCTTTTCTAACTGG